ATCCAGACTTGTGTCGATGCACCAGCATGCATGAGTCACGGTTGGTGACACGTCGTGGTTCATGGTTACGTTCCAGTTGAGTACAGGAAAAACGAACAAAAGCTAAATGTTGCTCGTTTTATTCTTTAATTAAGTATTCTCCGACTGGTTGCTGGCAAACACCCCCTACATCTGTACCGTGACTGACTCCATACACTACCAGTGAGACGCTGGAGTCCAGTGTGGTGGTTCATGAGGGGGTACCATGAACACCCACAGAAAGGCTTTAGTAATCACTAAATCGAACCCACAAGGCCTTGCTGAGCTGAACGACACATTTTATCTAAATATTTTCTACAGTTTTATTTCTCGCTTTACATGATTATATTTTATTACTTGCTTTGCATGTTCTATAGGATTATATTTGAGCACAGTTTTATTATTTAAATTATTATTTTACTGTCTATATCATTTTATTTATTACTTATTTTCTAACTTTTGTCCCTTATATTAGCTTTTTTATTATATTTTTACTCATTTTAATCCAGTGTTTCCTCTGTGGGGGCCCTCTGCCCCGGGAGCGGTGGTCGACTGTAGCTTCCTGGGCGCTCTATAGGTGGGGGTCTATGCTCCCCCTCCACTGAGCGCCCTGACTTAGTGTGGAAGACCTGATGCTGCCGGGACAGACGGCTCCTCTGATGGCGTTTCCTTGCGTTACCATACTTGGCTCATCTGGACTCAGCCTAATATAATTTTTACTTGTGTGTGCGTGTGATTGCATATGTTTGTTAATGTTTTTAACCTGTTATGGGAATCTGGGGTCATTTTGTAAAGCACTTTGAATCACACTTTGTTTGAAAAGCGCTTTAGAAATAAATTTGATTGATTGACTGAGAGGCAGCAGAAAGGTCATCGGTCTCTCTGGGTCAAAGATGGTCACGGTTCAGGGTCTTCAGGGATAAAACGCTGAATATCTATTAACCCAAATATCATTTATTTTCTTTAACATTCACAGCATGGAGCCATGAACACTCACTCCACTACAGAGCAACAGGAACCACCCACGTAGTGTACACACACACACGCACGCACGCACACGCACACACACACACACACACACACACACACGCACGCACGCACACACACACACACACACACACACACACACACACACACACACACACACACACACACGTCATTTACATTAATGGCGAGCGAAACTGCATCACTTCCATCATTAGCGCTATTGTTTGATATCTCAATTTGGGAAGGTCGAACATTATTATGTTTGCTGAAACTGAAGAGAGTCACTGCAGCTGCAGTGTGTTTCTTCTGAGGAGCTGTGGCAAGTTCTGAGAAGAAGGATCATTATCCTGCCCATCTCATCACATCGTGTGCTTGGAGCAGGGCAGAAGAGGCTCTCTGAGCTTAAACCCACACATTAGCCTGGGGCAGGCTTCTATCTCCGAGGTGTGCAACATGAAGTAAAGTATACGTCAACGGGATGAAAGCTTGTAAAATTATGATCAACCAGCAATCATAGCCGAGCTTCAGTTAAACGCAGGGACACAATAAAAGAAGACCAATGGAGCTCAGAGGTGAAGAGAAAGAGAATAGCACAAAAGTCATTTTTGCAGCTTCTCTGAGTCATATCTGCTGCAGTGGGAAACAGAAACGGCGAGGGGGAGAGAGAGTGAGCGTACGTACGTGGGTATGTGAGTGAAAGAGCGAGCGAAGGAAGGGGTGGAGAGGGGGACAGGAGCTGTGAAAAGTGGAGAAAAAAATTAGACAAATTTAGCTGCTTCTGAGAAAATCCCACCATTCTCCAGATTCTCAAATTACACCGAATCTGGTGAGAGGCGAGTCCTGCAAGAAGGGAGATAAAGATGGAGGCATGGCTAGAGGGGTAAGATGAGCAAAGACACGTGGTCCCAGTGTGACAGTCAGAGAGGAGAAAAAAAAGATCCTTTATTTTCTTCATATTCTGCATTATGTAACATCTCTAGGACTGCTGTCAGGACCTCCAGTGGTCCCTGCCTCTCATCCTCTCAGCCGCATGTATGAAGGAAGCAGCCTCCTCCTCTACAGCTGTCGCATCATTACAACCACGGCATTAGATCATAGGGATGTTCTACAGCACACACACACACACACACACACACACACACACACACACACACACACACACAGAGTATTGTGAAAGAGGTGCACAGCAGTGACTGGCAGAGATTTTTCTCTGGCCCCTACCTAGCAGTACTGCTGGGCAGAAACATTAATGCATCACTACGAGACGATTTTTGTCACGATTTTGACCGTTTTTACCCCTCAGAACTTCAAAATCCACAATGTGTCTCAATCAGTAATTTTTATGACTTATGTGATCTGTTCATGGACAGAGTTTACCATAACGGTAATACGTTTATACACAATACATCAGAAAGTGCATTCCAAGAGAGAAATCACAAGGTGCTTCACAAGCACAATAAAAAAAAAAGAAAAAAGTACACAGAGGAGCTCAGAA